GCTATTGTAAATAATGCTGCTATAAACATAGGAATGCATATATCTTTTCTAATTAGTATTTTTGTGTTTTTTGGGTAAATACCCAGTAGTAGAATTACTGGATCATATGGTAATTCGATTTTTAATTTTTTGAGGAACTTCCATTACTGTTTTCCACTGTGGATGCACCAGTTGCATCTAGTTACATTTGCATCAACAGTGCACAGGCGTTCCTTTTCCTCCATATCTTTGCCAACACTTGTTGTTTCTTGTGTTTTTTATTTTAGCCATTCTGACCGGTGTGAGGCGATACCTCATTGTGGTTTTGATTTGCATTTCTCCCATGATTAGTGATGTTGAGTATTTTTTCATGTGTCTGTTGGCCATCTGTATGTCTTTTTTGGAAAAATACCTGTTCATGTCTTCTGCCCATTTTTAAATTGAATTTTTTTTTTGGTGTTAAGTTTTATAAGTTTTTTTTTTATGTATTTTAGATACTAACCCTTTAGTGGATATATCATTTATAAACACCTTCTTCCATTCAATAGGTTGTCTTTTTTTGTTGATTATTTCTTTTGCTATGCAGAAACTTTTTATTTTGATGTAGTCCCAATAGTTTATTTTTGCTTTTGTTTCCCTTGTCTTGGGAGACATATCTAGAAAAACGTTGCTAGGGCCAATGTCAAAGAAATTACTGCGTGTGCTCTCTTCTAGGATTTTTATGGTTTCAGGTCTCACAATTAGGTCTTTAATCCATTTAGGATTTATTTTTGTGTATGGTGTAAGAAAGTGATCCAGTTTCATTCTTTTGCCTGTAGCTGTCCAGTTTCCCATTCAATTCCCATTTCAGCATTTGTTGAAGAAACTGTCCTTTTCCCATTGCATATTTTTGCCTCATTCGTTGTACATTAATTGACCAATAATCATGGGTTTGTTTCTCGGCTCTCTGTTCTGTTCCAGTGACCTATGTGTCTGTTTTTATGTCAGTACCATACTGTTTTGATTACTACAGCTTTGTAGTATAGCTTGAAATCTGGGATAGTGGGGGTACCCCCCTTTTCAAGATTGCTTTGGCTATTCAGGGTTGTTAGTGGTTGCACACAAATTTTAGGATTATTTTTTCTAGTTTTGTGAAAAATGCTATTGGCATTTTGATAGGAATTGTATTCGATTATGGATTGCTTTGGGTAGTATTGACATTTTAATAATATTTGCTCTCCCAATCCATGAGCATGTAATATCTTTCCATTTGTTTGTGTCATCTTTAATTTCTTTCACCAGTGTTTTATAGTTTTCAGAGTACAGGTCTTTCACCTCTTTGGTTAATTTTATTCTTAGGTATTTTATCATTTTTGGTTGCAATTGTAAATGGAATTGTTTTATCAGTTTCTCTTTCTGTTGGTTCATTAAGTATATAGACATCAACAGATTTCTGTATATTGATTTTTGTATACTGTAACTTTACTGAATTCATTTATCAGTTCTAGTAGTTTTGGGGTGGCATCTTTAGGGTTTTCTATATAGT